CACAGAAAAAGACGTCGCGCGGGTTAATCAGCGAATATTCGCGAGTATCAGCCCCGAATTCCTCGCCCTCTCCTGGCGGGGTGTAGTAATGAACCACCCTCGAGGTTGAGACGGCCGAGGGGGGGTAAGGAAGCCGGGAGGTCGAACAATATTAGTTCTAATATGAATGCGCGCTCTCTTCAACCCAAGATCCGCGTTTATTACGCAACAACTCCTCGTCATCAGATTAAGAGGGAATTAATGCATGTGTACACTTATACGTCTTAAATACACTTGCACCTACGTGTAAGCGCGTGTGTGTGACTACTCAGGCGTGAGAGCGCGTAGCACATTAAGGTAACTGGGGGCTGTGTTGACTTAGCGGCTGGAATACCTTTATTTTATCTCAGGATCAACATCATTAAGACACTCGCATTGCAGGGTATCTACCAATTTTCAAAAATAATATTTTCTGAAAATTCCCTGATTTCCCTGATATTAACGCCCAAAACACCAGGAAAAAATTTAAAATTCCATGAAAGACGGAGAAAATAATTCCATGGTATTTCCCTGGCAAAAGGGATTTGTATCCTAATTTTTCGAAATTATGACGGATTAGATGTAAGTAAGAATGTTTCCATGTTTTAGGAATAAAGTGTAATAAATAGGGTAAAATATATGGTGCTTAAACGTATGCGAGCTATGTTTGCCTCATTTTTACAATTTCAAAGATATCAGCAGAAATTCTGGTAGAAATTTTGGTGTTGATTTCATTTTTTTGGAACTTGATTCATCATCAATTTTCGACACGAAAATCCGTGTTTTTCGATTTCCCTGACACGGAAATCGCATGCAAAATAAAATTCCTAGCATGCCGAATTTTTGCGGATACCCTAGCGATACAAAAAAAGATTCCCTGACATTACCCCGTTTTCCAGGTCGCTAGACATCCTGTATTGGAGATGAGGGACAATTTTCGGAAAGACCGTGGGTACAAAAAACGACAGAGTAGAGGTAACAAGAACGGGTAAGTGAGGCTCATGCGGTAAGAGAAAATTTATGAGTATTAATTAAGCATGGGGTAGAGACCGTGATGATGAATGGGGTTACTCAAAAACTTGGGCTCTCTATTTTAAAAAATTTAACGGAACAGCTGGAATGGTGGATTCATACTGAGACTATACGCATGTAAAAGAATCTAAGTGGAAACTTTCCCGTTCCTGGGAATTTCTCATAGAAATCTAGTTTCTCCGAAAACTTTGATAGAAAATGCACACACGAAACTCACAATTCAAAGAGTATCCGGAAACTCTGCTAAAAACTCCGCTCCCTATGCTTTTGTGGAAAACTTTGAGAATGAACTAAGTTGCTGAAAGAGGATAGGTGCACGTCTACTTTAACGCGGATAGTGTATCATATATATTTTAAGTAAACCCTGCGGGAAAATAGACCAAAATGGAAAGCACCTTTCCAACCTTTTGAATGGAGTCTGATGGACTGATTTAGTGGCCACGGTTGGATAAATCGCCGATTATTTAAAAACTGGGCCACTCTCAAAAAGCGTGACAAAATGATCGATATCAAAGCAGTAGATCGAAGACATATCGAATCGTACCTAATGAATCAGTCTAGCAGACTCCATTCAAAAGGCTGGAAAGGTGCTTTTCATTTTAATCTATTTTCCCGCAGGGTTTTTTTAAAATAGACAAAATACACAATCCGCGTGAAAGTAGACGTGCACCTATCCTCTTTCACCCAAGAGGGACAGTGAAACGAAAATATTGAAATTAAATTTCAATTTGATTTCAATAAAATTGTAACTTTTTTACCATTAATCTGCAATATTTTTACATCATTTAGTCGACTTATGCCGATGTTAAACGATTAACAAAATTAAATCCATGTGTCAAAAACGGTATGCAATGCGATGAAAAATTGCAAATTATTTCAATTGTATTGCAATAAGTTTCAATATTGGGGCCCCTTCAAATAGGAGAAAGGCAACATACACAACACTCAGTGGAATTGCAATATTAGTAGTACTAATTTCGTACTATGTAATTTCTACTTATTGCATTCTGTGCTACTTGGGTAGCAGCTTATTTCATCAGGGTGTCTACGAAAACAGACTAACCAGAAATCAGTGCTTCTTCGGTACTTTTTCAGTACATTCCCAAGAAATTCAGTATTTTTTCAGTACCTCCAATTCACGAAATTCGAAAAATTTCAATTTCTCGCTCAATTTGCGACAAAAATGACAAAAAACGAAAGAAATTTCGGACCGTTTTGCGGAATTTCCGCACTTTTTTAGTACTTCCGGACCGCCCTTAAAAAATCAGTACGATTTCCGGACTTGTAGACACCCTGTTCATCCTCAAAGTTTTCCACAAAGATAGAATGACGTGGCTAAATCAGTCTATTGAAGAGGCGGGCAGACAACAGCGCAAACAGGCTCCACGTCGCGGCGTCGAAGTTTTGCCGAAAGAAGTTCCGGGCGAATACCACAACGGGGATCGGCACGCGGCATTCCACAGCGCTAGCGACGCCTTCGAGTGCTCGCGCCCGCAACCCGCAATACTTGAATTTAGGTCTTTGCTCCCCTGCTCCTTATCACGAACATAGGAAGATCCTGCCGCCAGGCTAAAAATACCAAGACGCGTGCACCACAACCACACAGAAAACGCCTTCAAACTTATCTGCAGCAACCACAACAACGCGAGGCAATAACCGATCTTAGGTCGGTCGACCTATACGAAACACAAAATATTAAAAATTTCCGATTTTTATAGTATATTTTAATTTCAATAATTGCCCACCTGTTGAAAAAAATCTGCTGGAAGGATCATGCTGAACAGGGTTCGAACACACGCCGGCCAAACAGCAATGGACCATACTAGACAAGGTACGAATTTAAGCATTCTGATACATGTTTCTTAACCAGAATTTCACGTAGAACCCGATTCACACTACGAAAATTATCGAAATCAACTCCTAACGAAGATATTAACGTTTTTATTTCACATTGGTTACGAGGAATTTGAACTGCCCGCTCACAAGAAACTCAAAGCTCTACGTGAGTCAAATCGCGCACTACAACGGTTTCAGCAAGCTTCTCAATCGAGCAATGTTCATTTTCCACCATGTGTTGTTCAAACTATTAGTAATTTGCTATAGCTGAGCCAAATAGTCAAGATTGAAGTTGAGGATTTTTACATCGCAGAGACTGTCATGATAAACATTTAGCGCGCGATGTGAATCACGTAGAGCATTGAGTTTTCATGAGCGGGTGGTTTGAATTCACGCATCAAAAATCATTAAATATCTTCGTCAGGAGTTGATTTTGGTAATTTTCGTTGTGCGTATCGTGTTTTACGTGCAATTTTGATAAAGAAACATGTATCAGAATGCTGAAATTCGTACCTTGTCTAGTGGTCCATTTGCCGGTAAGAAATCGCCTTTGGCCGCTAAGAAAATCGTTGTTAAGCTCCGTTTTGGGGATTTTTCGTCGCATTCTGCAAAGTGCCACGTCGTGTCGTGTTATCAATTTTTCCCCTCCGTCTTCGTCAAGTTTCGTGACACATCGAATCTTGTCCCAACGTTGCTATTCAATGGGGGTATTCCTGACTCGAAGCACTTTGAAAGGGCAATTTTTCATTTTTGCCCCTAAGAAATCTGAGATGGCCCCGAAGAAAAGTAGTTGCAGGCCAGATGATTGCTAAGATTTCATGCCGAGTTTCAAACACTGGTGCTGAAAATGATGAACCGAACCAAAAACAATTGATGCCCGAGTAATATTGGAGATTCCGTTTTGGTGCCCGTCTCCGAGTTTGACCACGATAGAGTAGATTCTGGCAACCCACTAGGAATTTGTTTTTATTTCACGGCTGAAACTTGCAAAAATTGGTATCGGAGCAAACGGCGGTGGCTAAACGTCAAACCTTCCCGGAATGCCATCGTAGTGATGAAGTTTAAAATCCAGCTACTTTGGCGGTTGCAAGAATTGGTCTAAGGAGTTCGTGCGTTAAGTTCGCCTTCAATTTGTAGTGATACTGTACCACACTCGGGTGGTCGAATAGTTGCTTCGCGCTCATGTACGGGGAATGTAACGATGGTGAAACTACCAAACTACATATCTCGGTTTGCGACGTTACGACGTTGCCATACATGATTTTTTAAGTGGAAAGCTACTCCACGTCAATTCCTAAAGACTTCCGTGATTTTTTTACTCAATGCGAGGCAAATTCTGAGAAAACTTCAATGAGTGGTGTTGATTTGTTCTCCTTTAAAAAATAAAACAGAAGCCGAGATTTTTACTTAAATACCGCAAACGAGATACGTGGTTTGAGATTTTTACGGTCGATCTGTAGGTTGCGTTTTATCATTGATATTCTTAAAAACAGAGTTGAAAAAAAATTATTTGGAAATTATTTTGTCAATCAAAAAGGTCTGATCAATAGTCGATCGGACGATTGATCGACGATAATATGGCGATTAATCTATCTTATCAGGTAGAGAATTCTGAAGACCGAGAGTCTAGTCAGAGTTGCTGCACCAATTTCAATGATTGCCGGATTATTCGCGCCCAATTCTGCTTGAAATCCAGCGACTTTAGCCATTGTAGGTACTGTGCTAATGAGTTGGTGCGTTAAGTTCGCCTTCAATTTCGAGTGATACTGTGCAACACTCGAGTGGTCGAATAGTTGCTTCGCGTTTTTCTACAGTGAGTATAGGTCTTGTTCACTTTCATTGTTATTTTTAAATGCCTCACCACCACTGATTTGCTTGACGTGACCTCGAGCATCCAGAATGCGGTCAGGGAATTACTCGTTGGTGATAGACAAGGGTATCAGAGATGTAACTGCAAGAAGACTGACTGCCAAACGGTAAGATGCTGTTGCTTCAAGAAGAGCGTGCCCTGTGCCATTCCTCTACAAAATGTAAGAATCGAAAACAACAGTCTACAAAACTAATAAATCTACCAAACTACAAAAATAATTTTGGAGGGTATTCTTTAGACTCACCGCTGAAGTATTTTGATGTATATTTTCCGTTCTTGATTCCGAATTTGCTGAAAAGAAAAGAGAAAAACACGTGATTCATAACACACCAAATTAAAACCCAAGTAGCACACCGCAACGAAAATCTTGAAATAATTTTGCAATTAAATGTGATGAAATTGCAATATTTGTGCATCATTTGGCCAATAGATGTCAACCTTCCAAAAAAAAAGAAACCTACGAAAGATGTCTGGAATTCGGGACTAATGAGTCTCTGAAACCGGAGGTTCCTGTAGTTTCTGTTGTGGTGAAGCATGATTAAGGTTGCTCGTTTGACAATGACAGGAAATTTGGATTTGCTTCATGTGGACGGTTTAATGTCTTGGCGATGGAAAATGAACGAAAACTGAAATACACCGCCCTAATCCTTTTTTTTATCTCTCACACCGCTCTACTCTGCCGTACTAATACGGAAGAGAGCAGAAAATGCAAAAATGAAGTTTTGAGAAAATAGACCTAGTGGCGTGAGAGGAAAATTTTATTGAATGGAGACTCAGTTCCCTGTGAAATTCTCAATATTTATCCAAAAGACTCTTAATTGTCTTAATGTTCCAGAAATTTCTGACAAAACATCTCGCCTTTTGTTTTGTTATTTTCAGTCCCTGTTCCCTCAGATAATTTCATCATTGTACTATTTCCGAGCTATATTTTAAATTCATTTTTAACTATCTTCACATCTGCATAAAACAGGTTACACTTATGGCTAACACTCTGACAGGACCTACTCAAAAGTGGCATCATGCACCTGGACATAGAGCCAAACATAGTTGGAATTACTTATTGCTAATGACACGGCATACAACTCCCAGAGGATTCGATGCGATATTGACTATCCGACCTTGTAATGACTTGCTCTCCTTAAAGAACACAATTTGGAATGCGTATGCATGACAGATTATGCTTAGCATACCTGTCCAAATACTGAGGGCTCCTGTTGCTGCTAAAATTTCAGGAATCACCCAAACTTTATAAAAAAATTGGCAATTTTCTCACACAGCAAAACGCAACCAACTTTCAAAATAGTTTTCATATCATAATCAATGAAAGGAATCTGAAATAAAAAGAGATTCCTACAAGTCTTTAAGGAACTAATTTTTAAAAATGATTTCATTTCATATGAGTACATTTATGATTCATGGAAAATCAATGCTCCTCTGAAAAAAACAGTGTTCATCATCAAAGTTAAAAATTATTTTTGTAAACTTACTTATTTCGTCGATAGCGTTCATTTGGGCAGTGAACAGCAGTCCCCGTAAATCAGCACCAGTAAAATTCTCAGACGAATGTGCAATAGCACAGAGATCAATATCAGACGCCAGAGGTAACTCTGCACTGAGTACTTGAAGAATTTGTAGCCGTTCATCCTAAAAGAGAAGAAAAATTACTTTCCATACCTAAGTTCAAGGTGTACATTGGAAACGAGAAATATTATGGACCACTAGACAAGGTATTTATGCATCTGGTAATGTTGTCTCTTTAAAATTTCACCTACAACACGATCCAAGCGACAAAAAATACGAAGATCAACTCCTGACCAGGATATAAAAGTTTTCATTTGACACTAGTTACGAGAGATTTAAATTTCCTACTCACAAGGGAAACCAGAATCTTCATGAATCAAATCTTGCACTAAAACCGTTTCGGCAGGCTTCTGAATCGAGCAGTGTTCCTGCCCCATCTTGTGTTGTTTAAAGTGTACACAATGTCCAACAATCGAACTGAAACGCCAAGATTGAAAATAATTTAACTCGAATAAATTATGGTTTTTTTATGAACAGGAAGTTTGAATTTTTGCATCAAAAGACATTAATTCTTTGTTTTGGAGTTACTTTAAATGATTTTCGATGCAAAAAACAAGCTTTACTTGAAACGTTGATGAGCAAACATATAACATGATGCGTAAATTTGTACCTTGTCTCATGATCCATTTCCCAAAAAGTCTACTTTGTGTCACAAATTACTTTTGCTGTATTATAAATATGAAAGCATTTTAAAGATAAAAAAAGCCAAAGATAGAGAGTGCACTGTGCAACTCCAAAACAATGATCGTTCAATTTGTAAAAATAGAGTGAAAAATAGAGTTATGGAGTTGATATAATTGACAACTGGGTGTACCTATTTTTTACTACATTTGATTTTACAATCTTTACCTCAGTGGGGAGAGGACAATGTATCAGAGGATAAAGACGTCCAGGTCTCAAGAGAGCAGGATCGATCAGATCAGGACGTGAAGTTGCTGCCACGACTGTCACACCCTCCAGGGACTCAACTCCATCAAGCTGCGTTAAAAGCTGGTTGACAACTCGATCTGTGACTCCTGTGTTGTCTTGTCCACGTCTGCAAAATAAAAGTAAGTGTATCAGGTGGTTATTTCATTTGAGGAGTAAATTTTTATTTCCGTCAGATAATTGAGAAATAGTCCATAATAACAAGTTGTAGAGAAATGGTGCTGGGTCCACACCATTTCACAGGGAAAACAAAGTCAAGAAGTTCTAAAAATTATAATTAGAGTCAAAAATATTTGTTTAACTCTAATAAGTACCATACAAAACTGATGGGGGAGAGTGTTGCGGCATGTTAAGTTGGGTTCACTGACGAGTGTGATCTGCTGATGAGATTTAAAAAGACCCAAAATTATAGATCTCTCAGCGTGACCTCAACTGAATATTCCAATGCAAACTGTCAAAGCTGAACACACTCCCCCTCAGTTTTGTACTGGTACTCATTGGATTAAAAAAAAAAAAAATAAAATTATTTTTTGACTTAAATTATAATTTTTGGAACTTCTTGGCTTTGTTTTCCCCACGAAATGGTGTGGACAAACATCATTAAGCGCATAAGAATCTGAATGTTAAAGAAACACACGGTTTTCTTACTGGAAAAACTTCAAACAGCCTTCAAAAACTTTGTTAGTATTAATTTTTCTTTCAGCCTTCATCACAGAGCATTTTATTGGTTCAAAAATACACCATGATACAAAATCTTCTGCTGCCACCGTGATTTTGGTCTTCAAATGACCATTGGACTCACCTAATCTGGAAACAATTGAGGGCCGCCTACTCTTACTCCGCCTGTCTATCATTTCGGCCATCATTTTTAAAATAGTTTGCCAGCAGTGGCGTGGCGTGCTTTGCGATATATCGATTGTTATGCCATTTAAACCTATGGAAAAGGATCGATAAACAGGGTGTTCACAGCGAACACCTTAATAATCGATTCTTTACCATAGGTTTAAATAGCACAACAATCGATAAATTGCAAAGCACGCCACGCCACTGTTTGCCAGAGAAGGTTTTTTCAAAATATTTCGTGATCAGTGAAATACATGGAAAAATAGTCCCACCAAAATATTTTCAACATGAAAAACCAGTGTAAATGGGTTTTGTATACGTTTATGGAACCCAAAAGTTAGTTGCTTGGAAGAGGTGAAGAGCTATGGGTCCTCTTGGACTCATGAGGTAATGGAATGCCCAAATTCCAAGATGACAGCCAAAAAGACCATTTCAGAGCAAGAATGCTTTCATCAGGCTTTAATAGCGAAATATGGCGTTTTAAAAAAAAAATATTTTTGCCCCCATTTTTTAACAAGGCGACCAAAAAGAAGAGAAGACCAGGTGAGAACAGGCGGCTGCTCACAGTCTCTGACTCGGAAGAGTCTAAGGATCATTTTAACCGTTCACCCACCATTTCCTCTGGAAACCTTGTTTGAGGATGCATTGTTAGACTGATCAACTGCACTATCAGATGGAAATAATTGTAGAATTTCAAGATAAACTGATTTTGCTTTCAGGAAAGTTAAAATTACAGCAAGACAATATTTAGACAAATAGATGGCAAATGAGGGCTTCATTTAGATATTTAAATATCTAAAAGATCAAATTTGGCTGAATATAATGGTAAAAAAAAATTTGCTATGTACTGTGACAGATAACTGGAACTGGAATATGCTAAATTCTGCTATGAAATAAAAACCACCTTACATGCTCAAGGGCACTTAGAACTGTTTACATGAAAGAAGATGCAATTTCTAGTGAAACTGTAACAAAGGGGCAAGGGTTTTTCCATGTTGTGTTTACTCTAGGAAAGAGTTGTTAAGAGTCACTTTTTTTTCAGACCAATTCATTGCGGCATCTCTAACAAACTTTAGAAATACTTACAGCCATAGGGAAAAATTCGCTAATTGTTATGTTTATTATCAGAGTAAAAAAATGACGGCTGGGTTATTTTTTATAATCTTACCGTGGAGCTAAGCTATCAAACTCATCAAAGAAAAGTATACACGGCTTGGCGCTCTCAGCTCTGAAAAAATAAAAACGAGAAGAATTTTACTATGAATAAATACTATGGACATTGAATCGACTCATAAAAGAAACGCTAGGGTCCATTCGTCTACTTTTGGGACAAATGTAAAAGACTGTACAACAATAATTTTGATTCTTGGATTGAATGGTGTTCAAAAGCTAATCATTGAACCCTCCATACCACTACCTCAGGAAGCTGATTTGAGCTCTACTACTGTAACATCAAAAGAGGAATTTATTGCAATTTTAGGATAATAGAAATAGTAGGTATGGTTGCAAATTTGAAAAACTTGGAACAAATTAGGTAACTGGAAAAGAATGCAATGCACTACTAGACAATGTGCGAATATAGGCATTATGATAGATGTTTTGCCAAGGAAATTTCATGCAGAACACGATTTGAGCAACAAAAATTATTGAATATAACTTCTTACTAAAATATTAGCTTTTTTCAGTCCATAAATTCAAACTATCCACTAATGAAAAAAATTGTAATCTACTCAAATTAAATTGCACGCTAATTTTCATCGTAACACTCTCTACAGTATGAAAATGTGGCAACATATAGCAAGAGGTTATTTGGGCCAGAAAAAGGGTGCTAGGCAAAGAGTGAGCTCTACCCCTTCAGAAAAATATTCCAGTATATTTGAGGAATTTTCAAGGCGTTACATACCTACTCTGTTAAAATTGAGACACTGAGTGCAGTTTTTTTTTTTTGGAATAAATTAGATGGAAAAGTAGCCTTTTCTGTACTTAAACCCTCAATTTACTCCAAAAAATCCTCTATTCCTCTACTTACTTTTTGAAAATGTTTCGGACGCCCTCTTCACTGGCACCGATGAACTTAGATAGCAATTCAGGGCCTTTGATGCTGATAAAGTTGATACGGCACTCCGTTACCAGAGATGATGCAATTATTGTCTTACCAGTGCCAGGCATCCCATAGAGCAAAATTCCTGCAATAAAACGCAATAAAAATAATAGTCAACTATGCAAAATCTATGTCCATTAAAAATCCTTCATTTGAAATTCGATCCTTCCCTAAAGTAATATGTAGTTCTTATGTGGTTGCACTGCCAGCTTTTGTAATAGTAATTCAGGTGCAAAATACAAAGAAAATAAACTTTTTTCCAATTCTCTAATACACAAATTTTAGAATTTGGATGCAGGAGCAGCACATTTTTCAACTTTTGTCCCATTAGCTGAAAAAAACTCAAGTTTATACCTTCTGAATCAACTCAAAAATTGCTTTAAAAAAAAGAAGAATGAAGTTAAAAATTGCTAGCTGCGAGAGATTCTGGACACTTTCGAAGGAGAATTTTGAGCATTTGAACACTTCCTAACTTCCTTTTGATATTAAGTTCTTTAATTTAAGGTAAGTAAAATGCTTACCAGAGAGGTTCTTGGAAGGATTCTGCATAAAGATTTGTGGATACTTCACAGGCCAAATTAAATGTTCTGTTAAAATCTGCTTGATCCGGCTCATTCCACCTATATCGCTCCATGAAATCTTTTCTTCTCTTTTCAAATTAACATCTCTGAGACTCAGTGGCACAATAGCTTTAACAGCCTCTTGAATGTGATCATCACTAACGAAATGGTCCTTTTTGAAGCCACCCTCCTTCCAAGCAACAAATTTGATCTTTTGGCATAAGTCACTAAAATCTTGGATGGCATAGTTTTCAGTTTTAGAGGCCAGACTTTCAAAATCAACATTAAAACCTTGCTCTAAAATTTTTTGAGGTAGGAAGGTCTTTAAAATTTGTACACGATTTTCTTTGGTCAGTTCAGGAATTTCAAAAACAACACTAAAAACAGGGATACCATGAACAGGCATTATTTCTTCATTCAGTTTAGCCAAAGAGCCTGCTGTGGATATTACAATAATACGAAAGTTTGACTGTGCAAAAGACACGAGTTCTTTGAATGTTATTGCAGCTTTATGAGAGTGTACAAACTCAGGGTAATTATCATGATTAAAGTATACGGCACCACAAATGATATCAATGTCATCTAAGAATAGGATTGAAGGCTCATGATAAACACACTCTACAAAACACTGTTTTAGGGCTTTTTCTACTTTGTCAAACGTTTTCCCTTTCAACGTTTTGCAAGAGAAATATTTGTGATAAACAAAATAGGGAGCTGCGATTAAGTCTTTGAATAGAAGTTTTGCAGCTGTAGTTTTCCCGCTGCCAGGCCCACCGGTGACGAGGAAATTGCAAGACTTGAAAATTGTGAACTTGGGTGCCTCGGAAAGGTGTAAGCTAAGTGGAATCAGCTTTTGTCCTTCTGAACACATTTCTTCAAGGTGACTGAAACAAAACAAACAAACAAAAGTTTCAGTTAATGGTTGCATTTATTAACAATTTTGAAATCACTTCTATGAGCTTTTCAGCTCCCCTATTTCTCATTTTTTGTATGAGATTTATCTATGAGTCTAGTAGGTTGATAATTAATGAATTTATAGCTGTTGACTGATGATATTCTCTAGATGAATCTGTTGTTGTCCAATTTTTGAATCATGACCAAGGGTTTTTTTTATTTTTTATTATTTGTTTTTCTTTAATTTTTTTTGCTGCAATGAGGCTCTCTTGATAACATGGAATTCTCAACAACAAAATAGACAAATTTTCTGAGGGGCACCATCATACAAATCCAAAATAAAATGCAAAATTGGACCTCATGTAAATGTCAACTGAAAAAGGTTTTCCTTTTAAGAATTTTTAAAATTTGATCTCCTCCAATTTTCAGGCTTTTTAACGCCAGTAATTGCCAGCTGATGATACTAGGAAATTGTAGGGAAATAAGAGACCTAAAGAAATAGCTCATAAGAGGACAATACCCAAATTTCCAGTGTGCAAGACTCAACTATTGACAGTCAATAAACAGATATATAAAACTACATGGTGTAAATTGAGTTGACTAAAATTCAAGTTAGAAACAAAAAGATAAAAAATAAAATAAGCATTAATAGGCATGAATTGGGTACTTACACAGTACACAGATCATCTAAATTCAATTTGAGAGTATCCTGCCTAGGGGACCAATCAGATTCGTGTGGATACTTGCGCAAAAGTCGAAAACTTAAAAACCTGAGACTATCCCTCGTTAATAAGAACACTTTTGACTTGTCTGAGCTAATAATGAGCTTTAATTTACACTCATTATTCCGGTAAGGCATGGATAACAATGATGTGCGATTCAACAAAAATGGAGAGCTTTTTTCCAGACAATTTTGTAAGTGAATTTTCAGTTGCTTTTGAAATTCTATCTCTTCATCCTCACTAACCTGCCAAAGAAGATAAAAAAAGATAGATAAATAACCAAAAAACAGATGACAAATAAGAATGAACTGAATCTATAGGTGAAATCTGAATCAAAACGTCCTATTGAATGTTTTATCTTGAAAACCTGATAAAAAACAGATACCTAAGAGTAAAAACATAAATGAGAAAAATTCGGCAGTGATTCTTTATCAGCACGGTATCAAACTATTATGATTAGAGCAGTTCATAGTATGCTAAAATTGCAATATTGCTGACATTAAAAAAAACTTAAAACTTTTCTCATAATAATTATTAATACTAATATTAATAATAAAATATTATATAAAATATCAATATTGTTAATACTAATCATTTAATTAATAATAAATATTATAAACGTCGTTTTGGATAGTCTACCGGCCTCCCTCTTCAGCAGGGAGGCGTGCTATTAAAATTTTAGGTTTTTTTAAATTTTGGCAATTCCGATTTTACTTTTTGCACTTTTTTGTTTGATGATCATTTTAGTTCATGGTTACTTCTCAAAACAAAATGTGATGTATCTTCATCTCGACAATTGCCCTGTGATAACTTTTGAAAAAAAATAGCAATTGTGTCAAGATGAAATAAAATGAAGTAGGAGCTGAGATGTCAATCTAAGGATGCATTTTGCTCGTGCACGCTGTCAGCTCTCAGTAAGGCCAAAAAAAAAACATCTTAGGACACACTCAGGGCTGGAAATTACTGAAGTGAACTTATGGTTGAACCTGAATACTCCACATACAATTTCAAAGAATGGGTAAGACATCTAAGTAAGAACACAACTAAAAATACTCACACAAAAGTCCAGTGGCGAAAAGAATATCACAGTTGGTTCCTGTATGGAGCAATTAATTTCACAATTCTCAACTTTGAGTCTATCACAGACATTGATTTGTAACATTTGCATCACCTCATTGGAAACATATACACACTTGTGATGAGGAATATGCTTATAATTTGTAAGTGACTTATCTAAATCTTCAATTACATTGATAGCAACATAGAAAACAGATTCATTATCATCTGCAGGTATGAATTCATTTTCTGGAACATTTTCAGGTACTACTGTTTTAGGGTTACTTTTTGGAGAATCGGACAGTACCAGATCAACTTTGGTAATCTTGCACAGCCATGGTCTCTGCCTAAAAACCCACAGTTTTGGGAGGTGTTTGCGAAAAATGAAACAGTTAAACGGATGAGTAAGCAGAGGGGAAGCATATAAAAATGTTAATGCTGAGCTTGGATGAACTCGGAAATAGAAATTTTTTTTAATTTCTTTTGAACTTGAAATAGTTTCATTTGTTAATAGTGGCCATGCTTCTTCTTTGAAATATTCCTTGAAATAATCGGAAGGACAGTTCGAAGGGAAGGAGGAACTTTCTGTATTTCTAGTAACATTATCTGATTTATTGTTTGGTGCGTGTTTGTGCTTATCATCAGCGTAGTTGATAACCAGTTCTGAAAACTGCTCGAGGCATCCAACATCTGAATTTGGTTCGATAAAATCTGAAACAAAGGAGAGGCAAAGTAAAATGATGTCACAACATTTTAGAAAACCATTCACTAAATAAAATCAAAAAGTCCTCTTTTAATAAAGTGTGTAATTATGTTTTTGTACATAGTACTATCAGTTTTAGTAGAAAAATAGAACACAGATTATGAATTTGCCGATATCACACATTTATGTTATGTAAGAGACAGATCAGAAAATAAATAAGGATATCATTTGTAAATCGGAAATGATAAAAAGGAGGCCAAAATTGTGCTGTGAGTAAAATGAAACGAGCCTTTCTTGCTCATCAATGTTCCTTAAAGGATAAATGTAGAAATACAATTTTCAGAATTTTATTCTAGGTTTGACTTTTCCCATGTCTGATGCCGCTAAAGTGATTTTAATTGGTAAATGAGAGAAAAATTATAATAATTTGGCAACTTGATTAATTTGCTTTCAAATATATTATCACTGCTCTGGTGGCATGTTGAGTGTTAAAGTCGAACTTCAAGAGAAAAAAAGTAAAACATTTGTTAAAATGGATAAATTAGGAAATCCTGATGTAATATTTTAGGTGAAATTTATGTTTAAAACAACCATGAAAAAAAAACTAGCGACAAAGATTTATTACATCTTAAAACTCACCCCTACTGATGCTAAACATAAAATAAACAGCAAAATGTACAAAATGAAAAACTAAACTTTCCAGTTTTTAGTTAAAATGTACTGAAATAATGTGATAAAGAAGCTTTAAAAATGGCAAGACATCATTTTTACATAAAAAAGAACAAAGAAAGTTTCCTGACTTGGATATTTTAGCATTTTTATTCCATATTAAGAGTTATCTCTTTAAAATGTACGAGTTTCAAAATTTTTTTTTCTAAAAAAAAAAAAATGTCACTACGAAATTGCTTTGTATGGATTGATACATTAAATGAATCCTCAGTTCAAGTTTGTAAAGCATATAAGGATTCGAGGTAGCTAAAAATGCTTGATACTTGAATTATTTTGAATTAAACTAAATATTAGGTATGATGAATTGGATGGCTAACCAGAATCAGCATATCGATGGCTAAAGTGCGAAACCATGTGTCTCCATTGCTGTGTTTCAAAATCCCTGCTCCTATGTTTTTTATTTATTTATTTATTTTTTTTCGGAGAGTAACAAGTCAACTACGTAGCTTCAGGACCGGATTTAGGGGATGGCCACATGGGCCACGGCCCATGGCGGCAAATTTTGCAATTTTTTAAATGTAGGTATGAAAAAAATTGGATTCAGAAAAAAATTACAAAAGAGAAAAGGCGACAAAATTTCTCATTTCCAGAGAGTAAAGTAAGTTCTAATTTTGTGATGCAAGAGACAGCAATTTTAATTAGTCGAGTTAAGAGAGAAACCAAACACGCAATTTGGCCTGGAACGGCGCGGCGCAGAGGGCAACGATGACGAGGACTTGAGATGAAAAGGAGAAGCCCTCGGCGTAGCGGTTGGCATGTAACACGTATTAGCGCCTACAAGACTCCTTGAATACATCACGCATTGCGTCAAACTTAGTACGTCAGCAGTGGTCGACGTGAAACGCACAGCGCCTACTAGACTGCATGAATACTTCATGCATTGCGTCAAACATGACGCGGTCAGCAGCGGTCGACGTGAAACGCACAGCGCCTACAAGACTGCATGAATACTTCACGCATTGCATCAAACACAGTGCGGTCAGCGCGGCGCGGTGGCAGAAGTTAAACTTATAAAACCACATCTATGTTTGATCTTTCATAATTTTTTGGTTCATTTCTTATAAATGGAAGGCCTTGTCCACATAGAGATAGGTTTACGGAACTTAACTTTCGCGCAAAGTTCCGTGAACTTTTGCTGATAGTGTTGACAGGGCTTTCGCAGAAAAATGATTCCAACGCGAGTAAACGCGTCTTGTGCACCCCTCCCTCTCCGGATCGTTTACTTGATGGTTTTTATTGATGTTTCAAAACGAATGAGAGGGGGCGGCAAAATACAGGCGGCCCATGGGCGGCAATTAGGTAAATCAGGCCCTGCGTAGCTTAAAATTTCTAAATAATATTTTGCTGGTGGAGAGGAAAAATCAAGGAAGTTCTCAAGAAATTAAGTTGACTGGTTTTTCAAAGAAAAAATAAAGTAAGTACTTATGATAGGAAGTCTGCAACATCACAAACGGAGATACATGGTTTCACACTTTGGTCATCAATATCTGCATTTCAAACCCTCATTTTATTTCATGTTATATTTTTTTAACAAGAAAACTAAGCAACATAATGCCAAGAGATTTTCTTGTCAGTTTCCACTATATCATACAGATAAAGAACACACTCACACAATCTCAAGTCAGAATTTTGCCCAGTTTTCTATCCAAGAAAAGGTGAAAAGAGAACTTCTGTGCATAAATCATATCAATAAGAACTTGATAATTTTCACCACAGAACTTTAGAAACTTACCGACTCTTAGATTCATTGAAAGAGATTTTGAGATCCAAATTGGGAACACTTGAGTGGACCAAACTATCCGCAGCTGCGTTAAAAGACTTTCCTCTACATGATTAGCACAACTTTCCTACGGGAAGGAAAACAAAACAAATAAATTCACAGAAATAACAACGCACAAAAGAGGGTAAAGAAAACACATTACAGCTGGACTGGCGAAAATCAAGTGGAACGTGTGACTTTGTATCAGCATTACATATCGATGGCCAAAGTGCAAAACCACGTACTTCCATTGCGGTATTTTAAGATCCCGCTCCTTCTCCATTTATGCGAAGAGAGACAAACCAAATTTGTGGCTAAAAAATACAGAACATTCTGCTGGAAGCAAAGAAAAATCAAGGAAATTTTCAAGACAGTGCGTTGACCATATTTCCAAAGAAAAAGATGCAGAATAACAGGAAGTCTACGACGTCGAAAAAGGAGATACGTGGTTTCGCATTCTGGCCATTGATATTTCCTAATCATTGATACTTACTTCACTTCCTCATGAAGCTGACCGTTCAACGTATTTTCATGAAATTTCCCTTGCAAAAGAATGATTCTGGTCGTTACTGTTTACAAAAATATTACTGCAATTTTTTTTTTTTTCGGTCAAAAGGATAGATGCACAATAATCAAGATGGTTAATTTCAGCCGCGCATTAAATAAAGTAAATTCATTTGGCGTGAACTTGACAAACAAACTCGGAGAGAGGCCCTTCCAACCTCCAGCCATTATATATTGACGGTGAAAGTCGGCAATCACATATCTCATTTGCGGTGTCTAAAAATCTCTGCCTCTATGGTATTTTTTTAAAGGAAAACAAACTGACATCATTCCTTGAAGTTTTGGCAGAATTTTCTTCGCACAGAGAAAAACTAGAAATGATGAAATTTCAACTTTTTTTTCTTTTTTTTTCTTGGAGGATGACAATACTTCCTCTCTACCCTATGGGAGCGAGAAAGTAAAAATCACGGCCAGTTTTGATGACTTGCCGTTGAGTAGTTTTCCGTTTAAAAAATAAAGTATGACAGGAAGTCTGCGACGTCGCAAACCGTGCTACCCGATTGCCGACTTGCACCGCCGATATGGCTGTATTTATGGTTAAGTAACGCCAGGATGCAACTATTCGTGCTTAACGGATGCCTGTGTTGCATACGGACAGAATTGAAGGCGTTTCAGCTGCCCTTAGCAAGACGCACTAGCTGGCACCTGACACTAGGATAAATGAGGTGCAACTATTCGTGCTTAACGGATGTCCAGGTTGCATATGGACACAAATGAAGGCGCTCCGGCTTCTCGAGGCAAAACGCCCCTCATTTGTTCCCCGACTATTTTTACAAGAGGATGTCCAGAGGCTCATAATTTGATCATGCAGTTGTGTGTCATACATCGAGGAAGTGGTGGCAATATACGGAACTATTTACCCTGGATTCACCTTGAAACACACGCATCCTCAAAATTGGGAAGATCGACGTTCCCCGCATAGAAAAACGTAGCTACATTCTAATGTTGCCAAATTTCCCCTCGCAAATTGTATTTTTCCTTGAAGAATCTTGGGCATTCCTAATTGAAAATGATTATGATTTTCCTTCTGATCTCGTGTGAAAATCAGGAGAATTTTAGTCAAAAATTGCGCATGTTTATTATTAAAAAAAATGCAAGTATTTGAGTCCTTGGCAACCTTGAAATGGAATGACGTTCCTTCGTCCGGGAAACAACGAGATCAGTGGCGAGGCGTAAATGATCGATTATCGATATTCCCCCATTTGAAGCTGTGGTAAAGAATCGATAGTTAAGGTGTTCGCTGCAAACACTCTGTCTATCGATCCTTTTCCACAGGTTTGAATGGCAGAGCAATCGATAAATCGCAAAGCACGCCACGCCACAGAACGAGATGTGGGTCAAACCTGGGATTAGCTTAATCATTGGTGGATTAGAGGCTAAAGAGGGGGCTACGAAGCAAGGATTCCTGGTGATCGAGACTGAGAAAAGAGAGGGTGCGCCCTTCTCAAAGCGTCTAGCAAAGGGAGGACAATAGATTCACGCTTTCTCAGACACCCTTCTTTTACAATCGCGCGGATATTGCACCGGGTGCGATCGGGCGCCCCTAAATCCCTGATTCCCGGCTCGACTAAACGCCACTTGGCGTGAACGTGTGATCAAACTAGAACAATCGTCTTACAGATTCTCATTGGGGATTATTTCCTTTGATGCCAAATTGAGGAACAGAACCTATAGCCGGAGATGGATGGGGCTAAATTTTGCAATTAGGAACTTTAGTATCTGGCTCAGTTTAGAAGCAACGTATGTACCATTAGTTTCCCTGTGCACAAGGGGGTCTTTACGGGTGAGCCAGAAATTGTAGTTCCTTATTGCAATATGAAGTCCGACAAGTCAGCTCCAAACCAACTCATTTTCATGCACAATCATGAATTAAATGAGACGCTTTAAAAAATCATAGAAAAATTGATTGCAAGAATCCGGCGTGAGTTGTTCAGGGTTCTCATAACTTCTTCATCTTCCAAAATTTCCGGATTCCCTGGCTTTTGACTCTATTTCAAATTTCTCCATCTGATTCTTCTTGCTTTGGTTAAACTATGGGAAAAATCTCCCTCTTCTAGGATTTCGAATTAAAGGAAAACGCACTCGAAAGTCTTTCGCACTTTCCCGAATGGCACTGGCTGAAGCTGCTGAGCCGAAAAGCTTCTCACGAAATTCCCTGACTTCTCGTATGCATGCCTAGACTTTTTCAGGTCGCCGTAAACTCCCTGACTTTCCAGATTTTCCAGTACCACACTGTTGGTACCACACTGTAGGTTTGTTGGTACCACACTGCAGGTTTTTTGGTACCACACTACAATTGAGATTTAGGTGGGTTTCGCGCCGTTTTGATATTGGAGCACAATAAAAAAAAGAGCCTTTTTTGAAAAGAACCTATCAATTTTCACGATAGTACGGCTCTTATTTACCTAGTTGCATCATGTATCGGGTTTGGGCTACGAGCCCTGGCGCAGATTTAAAACGAGGGTTGAAAAGCCGGCAAAATGACCTATTGCAGAGCAAGTGTTTTACATTTGAATTTTCCCAAGATGACGAAAAGTAAGTGCGTACCTATGAGGTACTACCGTGCTAAGGAGGAACGCCGTATGAGCCTTCAGATATTGCCGTATTTCCTTCAATTAAAAACGAATTTACTGTGAATACTCTCCGACAAATTTTTCAGACAATTTTGTTCGCAATTTCATCTGAGATATCTGAAAATTTCGAGAGAAAGTATGCCTGACTTCCCTTAAAAATAAATATTTTACACGGGGAAACTTGACAACTCTCGAATGATGATACAGCGTTCTTCCTTGGCTTGGCAATATTGCATAAATGTATTTTTTATTCCTAAACTCCCATGTTGGATAGTTGCGTGTTGCCTAGTCTGCCATGCTAAAGAAGAACGCCGTATGAGCTTTCAGGCGTTGCCAAATTTCCTTTGATAATATACGAATTTCTTGGCAAGCTTACGAACATTTTTCTTCCAGTTTTATAGTAAATTTTGTTTGCAATTTCACCTAAATTTCCTGAAAATTTCAAGGTAAAATGTTAATAATTTCCCCATAAATAAGTATTTTATCGAAGGAAATTTCGGCAACTCTCGAATGTTCATACGGCGTTTTTCCGTAGCCTAGCACGGCAGTAGTGACGTCCATGATAAGGTAGCAAGGTTCCAACGCAACGCGGGTTTTAATTTTCACAACATTTCCGATGATGCCAGTCTGAATAGTGAGTCGGTTCACGTCCAGCGATGTCCTTGCAATCTAATCAACTTGGAAAGTAACGTAGGTGACCGACAGAAAAGTTCCGACGGCCGAAAGCTTCGTCGAATAATTTGATACCCGGCAACGTCGCTGTTTCTCCTCGTTCTCGAGAACGTGAGGGTTGATTTCGTCGTCTTCCTGACATAAGGGCGTAACTGCACTTGAAGATGAACCCTGTCGCACATGTAACTCAATGCTTTCTCGGGTTCATCTCAAATTGTATTTACGCCTTTTTGTCAACCGAGCGACGATTTGAGGTGATTTTCAGGTGTGCACGTAAATAAATTGATTTTGAGGCTCTGCACTCTGGTAAGAAAGGGTGGGTACTCACTTGAGAACGTGAGGGGTGCCAGACAGGGAGTGAGAGGAGTTGCCTGAGTTGCACTTTAGGAGGATCCTTCCATGCAGTTAAGGGCCGTTCAAGTATTATGTAAGGCATTTTGGCCGACTTTTTGACCCTCCCTCATCCCTTGTGAGGCATCCATAGGACAACCTCTTCCTCTTTCTTCCTTTATTCACATAAGATTGACTTAATCCCTCCCCCAATTTTTTACGAAAATAACAGAGAGAGTCTGAAAAATAGCTTAAAAAACTTACTTTTCTTGGATCTACCCATTTAGTGCTCAGTGAATGTATTATCGGACAGGGGTAAATTTAACAAATTAACAAGGATGCAGAAAATTCCGCGGAGTAACACAGTTAAAATCTCGGCTCAAAGTTTCCTCACTTCACAAAAACAGCAAAAGAATGCTGTGAGCAGAAGAAATTTGAAAAAATCAGTGCTGTTCTGCTTCTTTAAGGTATTTTCCCTGACAGACGAAAAAAATCTTCTCATAAAATCACATCTCACAAGTTCATGGGTCTCCTCACTTCATAGGCTTGGGCATTTTCTGCT